ATCACTTGTGCAATGGTGCAATCAACATGTGTATGACCCCCCCCCCCCCCTCTCAGATTAGGGGGCAAACGAACGTAGCGCCACGTCGGAACTTTAATAGGAAGCGTCAAAGAGCATATGCGCCAATTTTGTGTAGCGTTACTCAAAAGAGTGAACTTTTTTCATAATATCTCATATTGTAAAGTGCTCATGCGCAATGCCAACTTTGTTATTTATGGAAACATTTCTTCGAAATTTTAACCATAGATGCTTCTAGTAAAGAAAAACATACCGCACATACCTATGACCTTTTGAGAAGTACTGATCAATGCATGGAAAATGCACTAAAGTTATTCGCCTTACGGCGAAAAGTTTTTTACTTGTTTATTTTATCCTCCAGTGCCTATAAAAGATATATATTGTCATCTACAATTAGTTACTAACTAACTGTAATGAAACTTTTGGTTGTTGTGGATTATTGGACCGCAAGTATTGGAGACATTTTTAGGGAGGTACCTAATCTACTTATCGGTTAATGTCAATCGCAACTTTCTTAATAGGAAGAATGCTGTTTCTACCAAGTATCTCGTTTTAAGAATTATACCAATTTAGAAACCACATTCATCATATTCGTTTCATTTAATTATGAACAGCAGAATCTAAAGTTCATACTTCGAAAAGAACCTTTGATATTAAAGGAACGAAAACAAACACAAATAAATTAATTTCCACAAAGCAGCTTTGTGCAAATCAAATGAAACAATTAGGGCGCGTTTGTTTGTCAACGATATTGTCAGCAACTCCCTTATTAGTATTATTAGCAATAACACAGTTCAGAATTTAACCAATATTTGCAATACCTATTCAACTACTCCACATGAATCGAGGTGATCCACGTACAGTACCTACGTACTTATTTGTCCCTTTGCAGTATACGTACTTGGGAATCACAGAGGCAAAAATAAATATTACATTACTAATGTGATGGTGTAGTATATTGTGCACTACTATAGCCCGCAGATCATTCTGGTTCAGGGCACTTGGTAGCCATTTTACCTTGTGACCTGTTTCGCACATTTTCCTACCTTGGGTTTGCATAGCTACCTACCTAAAATATTCATTCCTAAGCATTTTGTACAAAAGTTTGCTAAACTTTCGTCCTTTGCCCCCTTCTGCTCAAAGCGCTGTTGTAAATAAACATAATAACAATTTATTAAATCCCATTCCAGCAGCTTTTAGCTAAAATTAAAATAAATGCTCAATTTGGCTTTACGTCCTTAGAATGTCTTCCCTCATGCCTGAATGTAGAGCTAAGGATGAAAATTAACACGCAACATGGGGTTGTAAATGTAGAACAGCGTTTCGTTACACTCCACAGTCACGATCACGACGTACACCTACACTTTCAACTGGAGTAATGAAATCTTTAAGGGAAACGTATTCTTATCCGACTCAATTGCCAGAAAAGGGACCGCTGGTCTATTTTCTCTTTCCTGCTGAAATTAAACGGCAAGGACGGCAATTAAAAAAGTTCCTAATTACGATCCGTACTTAACAGATAAATAACGGTTCCCCTCATTAAATTTGATCAATGTTTAATATCCGCTTTACAAGGTAAACTAACTTCTAACTACAATTCGATTAGTTTGGAAAGTTACAAATAATGTGACAAGTTCTGGGAAAACGGACTTCTGAATCACATCTGTTGCACTTTCGCGATCGCCCTGAGTTAGTGCTTTAAGAAGTAGAAGGATTAGTGCGTATTTGCATATCTTTAACTATTAATTCATTGCAATTCCCTAATTAGATTATGTGGACTATTAGAAAATTGAACCGTTAGTTTGGGTTAGGCAATGCGTTTGGATACCCACGCTTCATACTTTCATCAAAGCACGCCCCCAAAGCGTTTTTGATTCGTTTAATTGTAAATGCCAATTACGGTAGTGATAGCGTGCCATTATGGATCATAGCCTACATTTGGCGTTTATCTTCAGATATCGAGTACTCCAAATATTCGAATAATTTAATTACGAGAGCTTCAGGTGACATGAAATACCTGATAATTATGCAGGCTGCTCTACCGGTCGCCATTTGCACATGTGAACTGAAAGAGTATCAAGTGAAACAGTAGGAGATTTACATGTTTTTCAATGAGAGATAGCTTTTGAAAATTGCGATTATTGTGAAACATTATGAATCCATATTTTTCCAAAGGCGCGAGAATACCCCTCACGCAGCCCTTCAATTTATGAAACTATAAGCCTTGTCACACACAATTTCTCATTAAGGCCGTATTCCTACAACCTCCTCTCTCACCTCATTTCCAAAAAGGGCTTGAGGATTTTGTCGAATTTCCCTTTTTTCACATAAGTAATCCTTTCCGAAATAATTTCCTTGCTACGACGGTTAGTGCGCGATCAGGTACAAATAGGGGTATACTTTGATCCCTCTAAGCGACTAAGCGCAGTTAATATAAGTAACAGAATTACAGGCAAACGTTCGTGCCATATATACCGTTTTACTTATTTAATTACCTTTAATTAGTACTATATTAAGAAAATTATGTGACGCTGTCATCCGATAAAATTGTTGGTTTGCGCATGCGCAGTGCCAACCATAGAACAACAAACTTAGAATGGAAACTCTAATGTAATGTAAAAATGACGCGCCACCTCGTGTATGTTCTCAGCAGCTTTTGAGTGAATGGCGCCAAATTTAAATATTAAAATGTAAGCTACGTCCGCATTATACTGCATTTCTCCGGATCTGTAACAATAACATTGGATTTGACTAG